GCCCGCGAAAAGGGGGAGGGAGACACGCGGCTGATGAGGTCTGCGGACTGAGGCTCCGCGGGCTTCTTTTCCCCACCTTCTCCCCGGTACCACTGCAAGGGGCTTGGAAGAGCCCCCCCACGTCCGGATCAGCGCAGAAACTTTCGCGGTGGGGAGAAAACCCCGTCCCCAAAATGTAGAGGAGCTGCGTCCCCCAAGCTGGGTTAAGCTACAGGATACGCACTGGACCAAAGCCGCTGGCTGGGAGTTGTAGTTCAACTGAACTTAGATAGGACAGTATAAAGAGGATATCTGGTGGATCTTGGGGTGGGGGGGTGACGGGATTTCAGATCTGGAGAAAATAATGCTGTCTCTTAGGACTTAACTCGCCCTGGGCCGTCCTTAACTTGGGCAGAGAATGGAGTGCTTGGGGTTACTACAGGAGTAAGTCAACTACTGGTAGTTGGCCTTTTGCAATGAATATGCAGTGCTAGAAAGGAGAGGTGCTGGGTTTCTCATCAGTTTGCAATGGGTTCCTTATTTATTTATTCATTCATTATATTTACTTATTTATTTATTCATTATATTTATATAGCCACCCATTTCACAGACCGTGACTACTACACTATTAATTCCAGAATAGGTTAAAGATATATTAATTTAGAATTTTGTTATCTTCTCTCTCTCTTAATAAAGAAGCTGATGAATGATCTCCCAATGGCATCCAGAACCATATTAAAAGTACAAACCTGATTTGGGTTTGCACAGTATGCCTAACTGGGTACCGAACCCATATTCTGTGTTGATCTACTGAATCATACTAGGCCAGTGCTTTTCAAACTTGGCAACTTTATGATGTGTGGACTTCAACTCCCAGAATTCCCCAGCCCAGAATTCCCTAGGCCAGCCTAGAATTTCCCAGCCACCACTAGGCAAATGTTTGGGGCTGTACAAAATGCAAACATCCAAGGTTGAAATTTAAGTTTACCATGCTGGGTTAATGTACTAATGAATCTTTTTCAACCTGTTGTATAAACCTGGTAGTATGCATGATCTTGTATTAAATTCTGATAAAATGCAATCACATTTTTTCTAAAGAATGAGCTATGGGCCTTAGAAGGGCATATGGTATAAATACTATGTCATAAACCTACCTACTTATAATGATATTCTTTTTCAGAGTAAATGAGTGTTCTGCAGGGGAGAGAAAGAGAGCAAGAAATAGCCTAGTATTGTCAACACTAACTAGAAGCAACTTCTCAGGATTTGAAGCAGGAGGGTTCTCTCCCCCCAAATCTCATCCTTCTTGAAGAGACCTTTTGCAGGTAAAACAGGTGCTCTTTCCAATAGCTATTTGCCCTCTCTCATTGGAGACTAATACAGGGGAAGGGGGGAAAGAGAGAGAACGATAGTTTATAAACCACAATGACTAAATTCTTTAAATTTCCTAATATTATTTATTCATTTGGGGCTTATCGTGATGGTTGGAGTCTGCTGTGCTTCCTGTACAGGACAGAGCAGGAAGATGACTCGTAGATTTGATAAGGAGGCCTTTTCCTCGGTAGAGAGAGAAAAAAAAAAAAAACCTGTTTTCCAACATGTTTAAAACATGTTGGAGAATTAAATCGTTTTCTTGCCATTGATTTTGTATTCTCCTTCCTCCTGTAGTCTTTGTGTCTCCTAGTGGCTTTAGAACCACATAGCAGGTTCTATGGCAGAGAAGCAGCTGCCCATTAATACTGATGCTCCAGAGAGAAGGCCAGTCTTGGTGTCATCTGGGTCATCCTCCAGTGAATTATCCACATCTGGAGCTTCTGAGCTGCATCCTCTCTCCCTGGGACGTGTGTCATCAAGCCATCTGTCCTCCTTAACGGTGCCTGTGCGCTTGGATGTCCTCTACTTCTTGCTTAACAGTGCCGCCAAAGGGGCACAGAGTGCCATGGCTCCCGTACCTACTCCTAGTGGGCAAGGGTCTGTCTCTGCATGTCATTGCCCAGTTGCTTTACAAGCAGTGAGCTGCTGTAACAGCTGCCACCACTCCTCTCACAATGCTTCTGACGGTGCTCCTTACACCGGGCGCCCCAGTGGGCCTCACCATGATGAAACAGCTTATGGAAATTATGGCCGACACGGAAGATTGAGCACTGGAATCCCAGACAGACAAAACAACAAATGGATCAGGGTTTCCCAACGGAATGATGGGAAGAACTGGTCTGGATCCCTTCAAGCAGATTTGGCAAGAGGATGGAGAAATTCCCACTCCCCACTGGGATGGCAGGAGAAGCAGAGGGATGAAGGTGGAAGGCATGGGAAAGGGGACAACTGGCAAGGAAAGCAGGCGAATTTCAGGAAGTCCTGGGGCAACCGCAGAGAAAGTCTGGCTAAGTCAACCCCTTGGAATTCAGACTCACTGGATAGAAGAAGAGAAGGCACATCGTCATTTGGAGTACCTTCTGTAAACATTAAGAAGAACCAAGATGGAAGTTGTTGGCAAGCGATGTGTGATGCCCCAGAAGACCAAAGACATGTGGCCCATACCCAGATTGGATGGCAAAAGAGCCAAGGGACACAAGAACCTGCTGCTGAGCTGACTGATACAACTGGCCAGGATAAAAGAGAAGATTGGGAGGCAGAATATGAAAATACCCAAGAAACCTCCAGTGCTCCTGAGTGGTTTTCCAGTTCTTCCCTTCAGAGCAAAAAAATGGATACTTCCAAAGCAGGAGGTAGTTATGATGTAGAATGGGCTGCGTCTGCTGATCCACCCAAACAGAAGCCGGAGACCTCTCCTCTTCCCAATTCAGTTTCCCAGGATCAGGCAGGTACATCTACAGAGAAGGAACTCGCCAAGTCTCGCTCAGATTGGAGTAAGAATGGCAGGTTTGCCCGTTACCTCCAGGGCCTTTATTCTGACATGCCAGGGAAGTCAAGCTCTGAGAGTTCCACAGATCTGGCCATCAATACAGATGCAGAGTCATCCAGTCGGGAGAAGGAAGAGGCTGCAAAGATGGCAGCTGATGGAGAATCAAAACCTTGGGAGTAGATTATGGCTAGGAGATTAGCAAGGAGAAGAAGAGGATACTATGTAGTCTACAGACCTGGGATCTAAGGGGAAACTTCCCCAGAAGTTTTGATCTCTGGAATTTCAGAGCTATTTAATTGGTTAAGATAGAAGTTTGACTCCCAGTGTCTGTAAATGGTGGTCATTTTGTCTTGTTTTACAGTTTATTCACAGCCCGTGTTACCCTTTATTCACGGAACAAGGGTCTTCTTAAATAATCAGATACGCCTGATATCCGTTCCAAAACAGGCTAACGAATGGGCATATCATCCAGTAAATGCAACCAGTATCCAACCAGATACCTTTCCATCTGAAGAGAATAGAAAAAGCAATGGCGAATCGTGTTGGTGGCATCATTGCTCTGGGTATTCTAAGATACATCAGATGGGGTTAACCATCACAGCCAGGATTGTTCATTTAGCAGTTTGTTACGACAGAAGCATCCTCCTGACTCCGTACAGTCACCCACATACATGGGTGACTTCTATAAAAGCTCCATTGTGGGTTCTGTAGAAAGAATCCATGATTTTTAAACCAAGGTCTGTCTGGTTTGAACCCAAAGGTTAGTTGGTATTGGATCTACTAGCTTAAGCACAGGAGGCTTGAAACCGTCATGCAAATCTCAGGATACAGATGATATCATTTCAAAGATTGTATCATTTCAGTACATGGGAGAAACGGTTAGCAAATCCCATGAAAGAGCCATTCTAGGCTGCTAATTTTTATTTTTATTTTTTTGCACACAGAGATGGGTATGTTAATTTAATGCTGTCTGTCTAGTATATCTAAATGTTACTCTAGCTGTTTAAGCACTCATAACTGTTACGCTGAGGTTGTTTAGAAAGTTGTAAAAACATCTTTGTATAATCTTACGTAGTGAACCTGGATTTAAAAATCCCAAGAAAAGCATCGCTGATGATTTGAAGTACTTTACAGTAGAATATTATGGTTTCCTGTAGTTTTTCTGATTACTTGTCTCTTGTTGCAATAAAGTTGGCACTGTGTTAGCAAGATGGGCTGTTCTGTTTAATAAACAAGGCATGAGCGGATGTATTTAAACTTGAGTAGAACTGTCATTGTGGGTATTTCAAGGATGCAGAGAAAGTTGAGGTTCAATTTTATTTACCTAATTTTATTTCTCCAAACAGAATAGCATGATCAAAGCAGTGTGATTGAAAAAGGACACTGGGGAAGTCAGATATGAGATCATCTCCCTATATAATATAGCAGTATTTTATTTTTATGAGAACAGTTCTCTCTGTATAACCACTATTTATTTATTTCTGCCTGTATTTCACTATTAAAAACAATTTAAAAACCCAATGACTAGGATGGATGGATGGATGGATGGATATTGATACAACAATCAGTTTAGCAACTTCTTGAGGTACTCCTATGTAATTTCAGAAGTCTCTTTGTAAGGAGTCAGAATTGATACCATGGAGTCTCTGTCCACCTTTCCCCTTTTCACCTCTTCCTCCTCCTCCTCATGCTTCTATCCCTTCACAAGGAAGTTTATAAAATTTAAATTACAATAAAAACAACTTAAAACACTCTTCCCCTTGTTGCGCAACATTAATTGGCCAGAATCCTTGGGGACAGAAGAACCCCAAAACCTCATTGGTCGGAATTTGCACCCATCAGTGCAGATTCCGGTGGTAGTCTAGGAAACCAGTGGTGGTAGCCAAGGCAACCAGGTTGATTTCAGAAGAGGTTGCTGTTTCTCCATCCTTGCTTCCATTGCAGAGGTGTTGCCCCAAATGGCAGAAAGGTGTGGCTGTTGGACCTGTTGTGGGAGGGAGAAAGGGGTAAGGTCTAAAAAAAAGAATTGGAAACCTTGACCTGTATTTTGTCCTCCCCCACCCTTTCAACACCATGAGGAAAGTACAGTGGTGGTGGTTCTTAGCTGATCAAGATTGCCCTGCAAAAGATCCATAGAAATACATGAATCAGTGCATTTGTAATTATTTCCTTGTGCCTCCACCTTTTCCTATTCCCATTTGAAAAGCGAGGGATTGTACACAGTTGAGTTCTGTTCACAAATTGCCAATAGGTTTAGTTAATTGTTAAAGAAACAACCTTCAAATGTAAAGAAAGGATAGATGTACATATATTTTAACATCTGTATAATAAATTATTCTAATTAGATGGATTGGTTAACGTTTACAGGTTTCATGATCAATTAAGTTTTTCAATAAAGTTGTTTCAGATGTGTGGTGATAGGATGAAAAGTAAATACATTGATCAACTTAGCACCAACAGTACAAACAATATTTAGCTATTGTTCTCCTGGCGTCATCTGTATGAATGCCAGGGTGTACCCCATTCTACAAAGATGTTCTAGAGACCTAAGAAAGAAAATGATTTCTAAGAAATTTGTGTAATAAAATCAGAGATGGTACCTGATTTGAATGGGCCCTCAGCATCCTGCAGATGGTATCTTCCACTCTGATTTTTCCTCCCCATACCCTCGATCATTTCTTCCTCAGGAAGCCCACCCATCCAAATACTAAACAGATCTGGTCCTGCTTAGTTTTTCAGAGGCCCACCAGCGTTGGTGAGATGCTTACACCAGGACTAAAATTCTTCTCTTGGGATTTAATGGAAGCGGGAAGTAGGTAACTAAGGAGGAGGTAGACTTTGAAAGAAGGGACGCATAACTCCAGAGCCATCTTTAATTACAAGGGGGCCTAAGAGTTGAGTATATGTCCATTCATTCATAGCTAAAAGTGCAGTGATCCCATATCCCTTTGAAAGTCTCACGTGGTCAGAGGAAAACGACTTGATATCAGACCTGGCTGTTACTAAAAGAGACAAGATGGAAATCAAAAGAGAGAGTCATCTAGCCTATTGCATAGCTTGGGTACAAATCAAATGCATAAAAATATGTTCAATTTCACTATAAATAGATTACTTTTGATACAAAGCAGTTGCTGGAATTGTTTCAGAATAGCTTCTTAATTTTTCTACAATAAAAATTCCTGATCAGAAATTCCTGGATTCTTGTGTGCCTGTTGATTCTTTCCAGTCCAGCCTGCCAAGGAGAAGCCTGACAATTCCATCCATGAAAATCCTACTGGGTCATTTTTCTCTTAAGTAAGAGAATGAGTAGAACAAGAAATCTCAGAAGGGTATTTTCAGCACAGCACAGGGCCACAATCTGAGATCCTCCTGCACCTTCTTCCCAGGCCTTGCAAACAATCCCGAGGACTTTTCTCCAAATGACTATTAATCAGGAATTAAAAAATAAATAAATTAGGAGTGAGCATATTAATGCATTTAATTTACAGTTTCTTTCCTCATCCTCCATGCAGAGAAGCCACATCCACCGCAGTTTCTTTAACAAGCGTCACCAGTTTAGAGACACACTTGTCTTTCTTGACCCATCCTCTGAAGATCAGCAGTGGACTTTGCTCAGCTGGCAGTCTACTGTTGGAATATATGTCCTTGACTACCTCCTACTGGGTATTGGAGACAACTCACAGAGGCATGGTTCATAGTGGTCTCTGGAAGATCTGCTTAGATCCAAAATGCCACCTGTATCAGTTCAATCTCTTAGGTAAGATCTCTCCACTCCATCTTGTAATATCTTAAGGTTGATCATTCGTTCATTCATTCATTCATTCATTCATTCGGTTTATATTCTATCTTCCCTCTAGGATGTCAAAGCAGCCTTCATAGTGCTCCCTTCTCCCATTTTGCCCCACAAAAAGAACCCTGGGAACTACTCTGGGTGGAAAGAGAAAGGGGATCAGCAGTAGGAGGCTGCTGAGACTTTGGCTGAATTTACAATCCGGTTCACAAAAGAGAGGGTTTGCACTTAATGCAAATATGCATTCAGGGATGCTCCCAGTTTTGAGAAGCCTTAGGTTAGGAAGGATGCTCTCTGGGGGGCTATTTCAGCTGTTGCTACAGCTGTTGTTACAGAGGTGGCTGTTTTCCCAGCCCAGAGCAAAAGAAGCGAATTGCATTTAAAATGAATTCTAAAAGACAACACCTTGGAGCCGAACTCAGGATGACGATGATTTACCATTGCCTTTTTCCAGGATGTTGATCTAATTTCCCCATCTAGCCTCTAACCCTGGATTTTCCCATGCAAACACTCGTTTCAAGAGCAGACAAATGTGGCGAGGTGCTGCTACCTAGTGGGGCCAAATTGAATTTACACCCCAATTAAAGTCTGGCTAGGTGGAGACGCAAACCCCCGCTACTTTTTAAAAATTCACTTCTGCACACATCTCACTTCACCTTCCACCGCTAGCGGTGTGATAACAACAGTAACTGACCCCGGGGTTCCTTTTATTTAAGCTTTTTTTTTTTTTTTTTTTTTTACATCCAAGGGTTACAAGAAATGGTGAGCCAGACTGGAATTTTCAGACTTCTTTCTTTTCTAAGTGGAGTTGTAGGGTTGTTAGTAAAAGGGAGCATCAAATATATTGGGGGTTTAGCATGCCTCTTATGGGGGTTATGATTTAGACGAGGCAACTTGTTATTAAATGTTGTGGTGCAATCTTTGGAGTACTGTTTGAGGCACAAGAACCCACAAATGTTTTCTTTTCTCGGTCACAGCTTTGCACATCCATGTTACCCGTGCCTTCCTGCTGACAGCGCTCTTCTGTGGCCTCACAGGATTGCTCTTCATTTGCATTTCTTTTGAACGTCATAAGCTCTACGAGGTATCGGTGATAAAAGCAGCTGCCGTCTTCAGCTTCAGTGCAGGTGGGTCATAGGGCCAGGCATCCTTTTAGAATTAATCTAAAAAAAGGTGTTTTGGAGTGGGTACAGGGTGCAAACATAGCCTCTGCCTGCAACTCTTTAAAACAGCTGGGTCTCTTCCTGGAATCATGTAGCTCTGCAGTGGCTGCACCATCTCAGGACGAAACGTTCAGGGAGGGGCTATGTTCATGCCTCCACATGCTCAAGGCATCTTTTTGGAACTTGAATCAGAAGCATTTCTCAGCTCTTATTTGTGGGACTTTGTAAATACAGAGGCCATCCCTCGGGCTGAACCTGTGCTTTGCATGCAGGATGCCCCAGGTATGAACTCAGATATCTCTTAAATTATTTCATCTATCAGGCTGTTTGGCAACTGTCTAAAACCAAAAGGGATTTTGCAGGCAATCCTTGCTTCCCAAAGCAGCTCAGACAAGTTGAAAAGAAGGAGCAAAAGAGAGAAGCACTCCCTGTCTTTAGGGTCACAATCCAAAGGGACACGGGTGGAGAGAGACCAGCCCTTCCAGCCCAGAAAGAAATAGTGAGCTATAGGTTGGCCTTGGTGGACCATTCAAGTCAGCTGGTCACATGTTGTTGGAGCTCCTGCTCGGTTACTATGGTGTAACTCTCGCTCCTATGGTTGATGGATAGCCCTAGTCTGGGCAGTCCTTCAGTTCCATTGTCCTAGAGCAACTCTCAGTTAATAGCTGATGAACCTAAGAAACTGTCCACAGTGGTTTCAGCTGTAGCCAGTGGAAGAACTTCAGCCATGGTGCTCCTTGAAGATATGGGGTGCAGCATCCTAGCAGCCTTGACTGCTTGGTTGATGGGTGAGGATCAACTAAGCTGCTCTTCAACACTCAATAGATTCCCACACTTTTTTTCCTTCCCTTTTGGCCTTAGGTTTCCTCATCCTGGTTGCCATGTCTCTATTCACAGCCATTCTTAGGAGTTCCCCAGGGTACGCCCAACATTTACTAGTATTTGGCTCATCCTTCAGCTTGGGCTGGGCCTCCGTTCTTATGTACATCATCACCGGTGAGTTGTGTTTTCTAGAAGTGCTAAAAGTCCTGCAGTTGTCTCTTTTCTACATTTAATGCCCATGTAATGCTTGTGTCACTAGCAATGGTTTGAAGGACTTCACAGTTTCTTGCCTTTAGCCATGCTGGCTGGGGCAGTTGAGAGATGAAGTCCAAAACATCTGAATTTCAAGGCTGATAGACAGGTGTAGATAAGCACCAGGCATGTTTTTTTTTAAATTAATAAATGAAATATTACTATCTCTGGTTTTGACTTAGGTGTCTTAATATGCCTCATTTTTTTCTTTTCTCCCCCAGGTATGCTACTTTTGCTGACTGACAAAACCATCATTTCTTAAGTCTAGGCATCTACCCTTCCACTGGGACTTTTTAAAAAGTCACCCATAGCAGATTTATTGGTTTCATAATCATGGAAACAATTATGCAGTAGGGCATTTAGCTGGGGCAAATGGAACCTTATCCTGGGTATAAGAAGAAGGTGTCACATTTCTCCTCATTCCAATCTAATCGGGCCATGATTTGCTACTATTAATGGCCTTCAGTCAGTTCCCTCCCAGTTTGACAGAACACTGGGTATGTAATATTGTTTGACAGCTGGTTGTGACCATGGCTTGCTATGACATTCCAAAAACTATGATCTGGGAAAATATAGGTGTTTGCTTCACATTTAAATTAGAAACCGTGGTTTGACTTGGGGTTCCAGTTCTGATTTGCAGCTAAGCAATGACTCGTGCTAATTTCATACAAGTTGGGTATCGTAATGCGTCACAGAGGGCTGAAGGCAGGAAATGAGAAGGGAAGAGATAGATAAGAAGAAAGCACATGTGAAGCTACTCCTTGGCACTCATTGTAAATAATGCCTCATTCGTCTTCATGCACCTCAAAAAGACACCTTAAAATTACATTGCAGTTGTCAGCAAAGGCAGGCAATATTTCAGCCTTTCTCCAACTGAAGATGAGTCACACCATGCGTAGGTTTGCTGAAGGGGCATTGGCTTCAGCTGTAAGTGAGTGAGTATCTGGTAGTAAGGTTATGCTGGTAAAACAGACATCTTAAAGAGAACAGTGGCGTCCATTTTGTTTAGGCCTTCTTGTCTGAGGATCTATGTGCAAATGCATGTGAATCTGGCATGTAAATATCTCTTTGTGGAGATCAATTTACCTGTGAATTGTATTTGTCAGTGAAAACATACATGAATATGGTTTTGTTTGCTAGTTGTTGTCAATAAACTCTCTTAACTGTGTGTTTTGCCCCAGTGTTGCCTATCCTCTCTTGCTCCACTCAGATTTTCTTGACCTCTTTCTAGATCATGCCTGTCTTGTTTGAAATTAAAGAAGCCATTTTTCAATGTTAAAGTGTGCAATGATTTTTTTCCCACAGCTGGCATGATGAGATATATAAAGGGTTTGATGTAGGCTGAAGAGATCCAGGTTAAATATTTGTTCAGTCATAAAGTTCATGAGGTGGTCATTGTGTGCTCTTTACACAATAGCAATCATAATTTGTTTTGGCTTAACATGAGTGACAACCCAGCCAACTATTTTATTCAACAGATCATGATTCATTAAAGCATATCTTGACAAGTTAAGTGAACCAAGTTGTTCTTTCTCATCCTGACTTACTTCCCATGAGTGTTGCAAGGCTACAGAAGGTTGAAGAGAGAATCAACAAATGTCTCCATGAGCTCTCTAGAGAAAGTGGGAAAGAAATCTAATAAATAAAAGTACCTCTTTTCATCCCTCATTTGACTTGACTTTTTATTAGTATGTCTGTATTTCAAAATACAAATGAAACAGATTAACATATTTAGGGCAATGGGGAGACCTGTGCGCAGACAAAATATGATGGTTTCATTCAAGTTCTAGAGTGAATTCTGAGGAAATAGCTGCTAAAGAGTCTTATGTTTAGTGGAACCCTAGTATGGAAATTAGTATTTGGAAAAAGATTCCTTGGATCCCCTTTTATCCCATAATATTACTTTTCAGGGAAGGAAGTTACAGGTTTTACCAATGGATTCATATTTTGCAGATATGGATACTATAGCTGGCACTTGGGTCTCCCTCAAAGCAACAGAAAGGAAGGAAGGCTGGCAGGAAAGCATGAACTGAATGCCATCAACCTGAATGGCAATGTGTGTGTGCACTGCCACTGTTTACTTTTTGGTTCAGAGAATAAGGCCAGTTGGTGGAAATTTTAGTTGATTAACTGGTCTTGATGATTAATACTTCTCGAAAATGAGAGGGGGGGGGGAAACCTCATGGACTCCTACCAAAAGAATTCTGCTGTTCAAATTGTTTCATAGATGTCTTCTCTCTCAGTTTGGTGGGCTCACTCAGTCTGGGTTGACAATTTTCTGAGAATAATGGGAAGGAGAAGACCTGAGCTGGGGTTCCTCCCATCAAGCTTTTGTGGTTAGATAAGAGGCCAGCAATAGCTGGGGAGGACTGAGGGATCACCTTCTCCTTAATGGAGCCTCCTGAACAACCAAACTTTTGGTGAGGACTTGCTGGCAGGTCAGAAGTAGGAAAATGAACAAAATGTTTTGTTGTGTATTGTACAGAAGACCTCTAAGTCTGCACAAAGACCTTATGAGAGCTATTTGTCATCATAGGTTGTTCTATCTTGGTTTAAATTGTGCTCTCTCATTCAAATCAATGGGACATGGGGAGGCATTGTCTGCTCAGGTCCAGCATGGCTTAGCAGGACTGGGAATTAGGGAGGAGGATAGATTAGAACTAACCAAGCCAAGCATGAGCTGTGTTCAGGAGCCATAGCATTTTCTATGAAACAAACCAGAAGTTAGAAGAGCACTGACATGAATGATTACAACAAAAGCAGAGTAGAAAACAAGGCAGCTTAGCAGGACCCATATGACTTCTGGCTGAAAGCAGGCTGAACGTTTCCAGAATGGTGCATGACCACTTTCCCTGTTGCTATATCTGATTGGTTTAAATCTCCGCATGTAGAACACTCCAAGAACCTGATTGGTCAAGTTTTATATTGCTTGGTAGTGACTGGATCAGCTGTAGTATCCTAGGCAACTGGATTTATTTCTGCAGGGGTTGATGCTTCTCCAGGGTCAACCCCCGACATAAATATGGCAGACAGGTGTGACAAGAAGAGAACCCATTGTGGTAGGGGAAAGGGAGGAAGTGTAGAACAGACAAGATGTCATGGAATACCTAGGGTATTGTGTGGCAGAAGGGTCATGTGAAGCTATCCAATTTTGTGAACTGATGTGAAAGATGTGGTAGGGCTTGATCTCATTTTTTAGGATTTTACATTGTCTCCTGAGATCTCCAGGAGAAGATATGCCCCAGAATCAAGAAGGTAGGAGAGCTATTTTCTGCTTAGCTTGAGAAGCTAAGCATCATTCTTATAACCATAAGACATCAACGGATTCTCCTAGGCACAGTCAGAATCTGCCCTCATCTTCTGCATCCACCAGGCACTGAACTGAATTGCTAAATTGTTCATTATTCTTAGCTGTTGGGTCCCTAGCCTGGAGGAATGGCCTATTTAGTTTTAATAATAACCTAGTCATCCATTCCACATAATAAGCAACATTATTTCCAGACTTGATGGACATGGATCTTCATATTGTCTTCTAAAACAAATGCTATTCTGAATTGTTCGCTCCCCTTTCATTTGTCCCAGTCATGAAAATTGGACACGTGTGAGAGTGAAAGGAGAACGGAGAGAAAGAAGAATGCACGTTCATTCCAAAATCTGGGGAAGAAGAAGAGGCACTGCCTTCTAGTGGTAGCTAAGGCAGTCTTAATTTCCCCCTTTTTTTGGTTTGCTCGTGTTTGGTTTTAATTGTGCATGCCTGTCCACTTACAATGATGGGTGGGATCTGCTTCTACCTGTATTTTTTGGGACAGAATGATCACCTAATGTTGGATATCACATGATCTCTTTTCCAATATGAGCTATTTTGATCACTAAGGCAAGTGGCAAGAGATGGATGAGAGAAGGACCTTCCCACATCTGTTTTTCACCTGGCTGTCATTAGTCAATCGAGCCTCTGTCTTTAAAGACAAAGGTCCCTTCCTGTCTCTATCTTATCCTCCCCTTTCTTCAAGATGTTGTTTTGCTAGAAGGGAGATTTTTTTGTCCCTGAAGAAAATCTAGCTCTTTCTTCAAATATGAATGTCTGTTACCATTCATTGACAGCCAGGCTAGATTCCAACTAGCTACACTCAAGACTACTATTATTGTGACTCCTTTTTTAATGAGAGATTCTGTTACTTAATCATTTAGTACTCTTGCAACATTCTGCATATCCTCTCCTAAGGGCTTCTACTGAAGTTAATTCTCCAATCCTCAGAATTACCATTCTAGAATACAGAACAGAAAGGAAACAGAAGAAGAAATAGAGATCTTAGAGGCTGGAGGTCTTTGTTCAAGTAATGGGAAGCAAGCAGGGTGGTCTCCCCCATTAAGCACCTAAAGAAATATAAGTGACTTCCTCTTCCTCTTCTTTTTTCTGGAAGAGGGGAAGCCCTGTCTCTTTTTAACCATGGTGACGTACTTTGCAAACTCCAGGGACCGGATTTGGTGCCTCTTTACTGGCCACATCTTTTGCCCTGTAGCTTCTCTTTCACAACAAATGGGGATAATGTCTCACTTCTCTTCCATTCTAGGAGTATCTCAGCCATATCGGTGTATTCTCAGAGTAACTTCCGTTTCTTGATGCAGCCCCTCTGGTTCAGCAGCCTGGTTTTTTGCACTGGAAGTCTAACGCTGATGCTGACGGCCTTGTTCACCCCTTACTGGGTGACAGAAAGCACACCCCATGGCCTGCTTCATGGGGGTCTCTGGAAGATTTGCTTAGATCCAGATTGTGACTTTTATCCAATTAACCTAGGTAAGGCTTCCCACTTTGAATATTGTGCAATGAATCTCTCAAGTTCAATTTCTCTCAAGGTCCCATTTCTGCCATGCATGCATAAATACACTGATGCTACGTCTGCTCTATGTCTGCACCGGCTTACAGATTTGCCAGGGGCAAGGCCCTGGAGAATTTTTTTTTCTGCATTGGCAGGCTCTATTCCCTTCATATATATATATATATATATATATTTGCATATGTGTTTTCCTGGTGTGCAAGGTTTTTGTAAATCTTTGGTAAATCTTTATGGTAATATTGACAAAAATTCTACTACACAAGTTTTCTATAATAAGTTATAATAAGCCCTTTTCTCTGATATCTGTGTTTTCAGGAGTGGTGTCATCCAAAGTTTACGTGTTCATGGGGTTTGATTTATTCATTTTATTTATTTATCAAATTTATATGGCTGCCCATCTCACACAAAACAATGCTGGGCAGCAGACAATACAACCAACAATTAAAACGTTCTACAAAACCACTTAAAAATAATTA